CTCCCCCAAGATGGAATTTGGCCCTGGGGTTGAAAGGGCTTCAATGCCATTATTGCTGTGAAATCTATCTATCTATCTATCTATCTATCTATCTATCTATCTATCTATCACTCCAAAACACATGCAGTTCTGAATCCTAGTGAGCGAGAAGGTGGGGTACTCCAGGGCCTTCTCTGATGAGAGCACGGACCCAGTATGGGACTGGGTTGGTGTCCTGCTGTATCCAGGCACCGATACAGAAGCAGTTCTTGCCATCAGGGGATCAGCGTGAAGCATGTCCTCTGTCGTACCCACTGATCCTAGCAAATAAAAACGCCATCTCGCAAATCTACTTAATACAGTCTCGGGCCGTTCACTGTCAGTCTATCCTATTTATGACACGCCAGATAAAAGGGAGCTCAGAGGAAAGATGGCATTTTAAAAGCTTGCCCACTCTTACTTCCTGCATTCAACACTTTCCCACCTCTTCCTTCCTTCTTTCTTTTCTTTTCTTTTTTTTAAACAAGCAATTTTCTTAAATCATAGTAGCCTTGTCAGATCATTAAAGGATTGCATTTGGAAGAGATCAATAACCTTACAAAATCTACCTGGCTCCTCTCCTTTTGGCACTCATTATTCCTAATTGCTCACTGTGATGTTGCACTAGCAAAATGCTTGGTGCTGAGTCGGAGCGGGTTTGATGCTCAGGGACCCCTGAGTGAGGTGTAATGCATCATCTGTACACAAGCCCTCCTTCCCCCTTCGGCAGTATTCTTGGCAGTGAAGTTTGGAGCTGCGGGTGTCAGGGGTGGAAATTCCTGTCTCTTTCTTTGCCAGTGTTTCTGTGCAAATTCAACACCACGTTTTCCGCGTGGAAGTGAATTCTCATATAACCCCAGTCCTCTGCCAGCTTCACTGGCTCCCCATAGAAGTCTGGGCTCAATTCAAGGTGCTGGTTATCACCTACAAAGCCCTTAACGGCTTGGGACCTGGATACCTAAAGGAAAGCCAGCGTCCATATTTGCCCTCCCGCCCCTTGAGATCGGCGGCAGAGTCCCTCCTCCGGGAACACTCCATGAAAGATATTAGGAGGCTAAGTACCCAGAGGAGGGCCTTCTCTGCGGTGGCGCCCCACCTATGGAATGCACTCCCCAGAGAGTTCTGCCTGGCGCCGTTATTATTTGTTTTTCGGCACCAGGCCAAGAGCTTTTTATTTAAACGATATTTTAATAATTATTAATATTATTCATTGGTTTAAAATTTTTAGCCAGGATGAATCCAGATTTTATATGGACTTCTGTATGATTGTTTATTTATGATGTTGGAAGCCATCCCAAGGCTTATGCGAAATGGGACGGCATACAAAAATTCCAAATAAATACATAAATAAATGGCAGCAAGGCACATGGGGACAAGATGGAGGCATTCCTGGCATTCCGTGGTGCAGATCAATTGCTTGTTACTCTGAACTGGAGAATGATGCAGGGAGCGGGAGGAGGTTGTTTGGATGGCTCGAGGTTCTGACTTGGGCAGTGGCTTGCTTTGCTGACTTGGGACTTGTCCTCGGCCAGCCAGCTGGCTCATTTTGCTGAGTGGGGCCCTGGAATCTGCCCCAAGGTCCTACCTTGGGGTCGCGGCTGCCAGCACCTCCTGGAAAAGCTCTCACAACACCTCAAGTGATCCTTGCAGCAGAAGGACGACCATTTCAATACACTGTGGGTGTTGCAGGCGTAAATGCCTCGGCTGCGGCTGATCTCTATGCGTAGATCTGATGCATAAAAAGCTGCATGCCGATCCTCTAACCGGGGCACTCTCCTCTGCTGGTGATCCATCGTGGGGTTGAGAGCCGTGCCCACGTTTGAGGAACTCCCCTGCTCCCGCCTTCTTGGTTATCTGCAGAGACTGCCTGCCGCCACCTACGGAGTCGGGCCTCAAGATCAGCACCTCCGCTTCTCTCACTTCCGTGTCTGCAGCTGCCCAGAATCCCAGCCCCCCTCCTGCGTCTCTCCCTCTTCTGATACTTCCTGACAGTCAGGACCCCCAGGGTGTGGAATTGGCTTCTGCGGGAGGTGGTTGAAGCTCCATCAGTGAGGATGTTCAAGGATAGGCTGGACGTGCACATGGTGGGCATGTCGTGAGCGGAGCCGGCTGGAGCCGGGGGTCAGACTCGGTGGCCCGGGAGGCCCCTTCTGACTCGCTCTGTCTCTAGGTTTCTATGATTCCGATTCTTCTTCTGGAGACCAGCCGGCAGCCCTTGAGAACGTGCCCCCAAAGCGTCCGTCTCCTCACTCCCAGCACATGCCAGAAAAGCTCCGCCAGCTTTCTTACCTACTCAACCACCAGTCAAGAGACTACTGTGATACTCTTCTTGAGGATGTTTCTTTTCCTTTGTAAAAGAGCCTCTTTTTTTAATGGCTTCCTCCAGGATATGTTCTTGCGGTACACAGGCAACCCAAGCCCTTTTCATCAGAATGCCTAATTATGCTCTTAAATGAACCATTCTTGGACAGATAAAGCTCATTGATTTGGAAATGATTGCCATGCGTTGAGACGCCTGAAGTGTGAAGTGTTCTGCTGAGTGTTCTGCTGAGACGGGCACAATAAATGCCTTCCTTCCCGTGAAAGTGGCACCACAGATAAATACACTTCCAGAAATGAGATAGTTCTGCACCTCCGCAACCCCCTCGGCACACACATTGTATATAGTTCTTTGCACCCCACATCTGCAAGCTGTTAAACTTTACAGGGACTGCGGTTGTGTTTGGAGAAGCTGTGCGTTGCTGAAGAAGCAATCTCATTCAGTTGCAGCTCTGATAAAGAACTGACAGGGCTCCAAAGAGAAAAAGAGAAACAGAGCGAGTCAGAAGGGGTCTCCCGGGCCATCTAGTCTGACCCCCGGCTCCAGCTGGTTCCACTCACAACATGCCTGCCATGTGCATGTCCAAGAGAAAAAGGCCTGTGAAGAATCCAGTGTACTTCATAATTGAAGTGATACTCCTGGAGGTTGGAGACACCGGTCTCCACCCTCGGACCATTAATCCAAGAGCTTAACTTAGCTAGTTGTTCCACTGGTTCACATGAGCTTCTGATCCAAGCTAGCAGGGCTCTTGGACAGAACTGTGGCCTATCCTAGCCCTAGCCGAACGCTAACCCTGAAAGTGGTGCATCAGAGAACCCATGGTGAGTTGGGGTGGGTTAAGAGCAGCATTGCCTTAACATCATCCATGTGGACTTTGCATTGGAGCATCTGATTGGCCATGGCGGGAAGTAGGATGCTGAGATTGCACAAACCTTTGGTGGCTACATCTAGTCTGGCTCTTCTGTTGTCTTTATGCATTAAAGCCAATATACATTCCTTACATAAGGAATACGAAGCTACTCAGCTCACCCCAGCTAATAACAGAGAGAAGTGATGGATCCATTTTCTCTGGCAATTAACTTCTCTCCTTGTCATTGCAGCTTGAAGTGAGCTAGAAAATATTGTTTGCAAAGGACCTAAAACAGGAAAGTTTTTTTTAAAAATAACTCTGTTGCCAATGGAATGGAAACTTTGAGCTGCTCATCCCCCTTGAGTGAAAGGAAAGGATTTAGGCCAGCTTCTTACTGAAGTGGACAGCTTATGTCTGAGGTATCCTTCTTGCGGCTTTCGGGAGGACTCACATGAGAGAAATTCATTGCTGCAATCACTATAGCTCTGTACATATAATAAGTGATGTTCGTGTAGAAAAACCTAAGAGGACAGCTCTGTTCTAGGCTTCTTCTGAAATGCTGGAGAGAAAAAGTAAAGAGCCAAGCTGGTAGGAACAGAAGCAAGCCTCCATCTTCAGACCATTAACCTGTACAGAATCTAGTGATGTGTTCAGGTTTTGAACACCACCTGGACATGTTGTTGTTAGTCGCGAAGTCGTGTCTGACCCATCACAACCCCATGGACAATATTCCTCCAGGCCTTCCTGCCCTTCACCAGCCTCCAGAGTCCACCTAAGCTCAAGCCGACTGCTTCCGTGACTCCATCCAGCCACCTCGTTCTCTGCCGTCCCCTTCTCCTTTGGCCCTCAATCATTCCCAGCATCAGGGTCTTCTCTTCTTCCTTCTCATTAGGTGGCCAAAGTATTTGAGTTTCATCTTCAGTATCTGGCCTTCTAAAGAGCAGTCAGGGTTGATCTCCTCTAGGACTGACCGTGTTTGATCGCCTTGTCATCCAAGGGACTTGCAGGAGTCTCCTCCAGCACCACAATCCAAAGGCCTGGACATATTCATTCATAAATGCTTCAGTAACATGATTCCCCATGAATGTGTGATTACAATGCAACACCAGACATGCCTGACTTGCAAAATGGAGATGACATTTGAAGGAAACCACTGAGACCTGTTAGGTTGAACATCTCCTGTGTGGGCCATTCCTGTTTAATCGGCCAGCCAATGTCCATTTCCAAAACATACCATTCTGCCATCTCTGACTCAATTTCCCGTTTTCTCTCCAACAATTGGTCAGGTCTTCTCCTTCTGCTTCATCCGCAGATACTTCTTTCTTGCTGTGGTGGTCACATGAACCTGAGCATGAGAAATAAAGTTCCAAAGGAGTAGCCCATGTCACTCTGGCCCACACCCCCAGCCAGAACACTATCTGGGCTCACCCACAGTTATTTTTGATCCAATTAAAATCTAAGGACCATCCAAGGAATTGCAATCAAATGTGCAGGAGAAGGGAAAACATCTAACATGTCAGAACTAGAATGTTAAGGCAATTGAATTTTACAGACAATTAGATTCATAACCAGTTCTAAGACTAACTGGAGATGACTTCAATTGATTATTACAAGTCTGACTACTGCGTGAGTGTCCTTTTTAACTGCAACAATATTTTCTTTAAGAGTTGTATTGATTTTGCAAAATGAGGGGTTTGACTGCAATGCAGCAACAAGAGAGTGCGGTTTGGTGCCTCCGAGCCATGCAAGTTGGTGCTTACCTTACCAGTGACTTTGCCTTTGGATGTGAGCGTCTCTCTCCCCGTCCTCTAGGCTCTCAAGGGTGCCAAGAAGCTGAACTTGTCCGTCCACTCCGTGGGGCGCATCCCCGGCGGCTACATGACCAACCACATCTACACCTGGGTGGACCCCCAGGGCCGGAGCGTCTCCCCACCAACAGGCCTTCCCCACCACCAGAGCAACTCTCTGCGCAAGGACGGCGAGAAGAGGAGCCACCTCCAGCTTCTGCAGGAAGGCGATGAGAAGAAGGTAAGTCCTGCAAAGCCTGGGGAGATGCATGTAGGACGCCACCAGGCCAGGGGCACACCTAGCACGTGGCACGGGGTGCTAGCGCTGTGGTGCCATTGTGTCGTTTGCTTACGCATTTAGGCTATCTGCTAGGGCAGAGACGGGCGAGATCTGTAGTCCAACAACGGGTGGCGCTCAGAAGAAGGCCTCCGACGTTGAGCGTAGCATCCAGACATACTGAGGTCAGGAGAGGCACTCTAACAGGTGTTGTGAGAGAGAAGGTTTGCTTGATTCAAGCCGGCACTTTGCGTCCAAGGGGCCAGCACAGGTGGGCTAGCATTGGTGCCACGTTATCAGGCCTTCTGGCCCCGGGCATTGGCCTAGCGATCGTGTTTTGCACACACTGCAGCTCTGAACAATCTTCAAGGGCAGCTCCGTGTGGTGTGAGGAGATATCAGCTTGGCAGGGGAAGGTTGCTTCTCTCTGATTCAGTGGTGCCAGTCACCTGGGGTCTTCCAGGCATGGGATTGCGTCCTTTGAACCCCATCACGCTCCACGACATGGCTGGCAGCAAAGGGGTGTAAATTAAGAACTCTGATACACATGGATGGATGGGTAGGTGGTTAGATTTAAAAAATAATAGCTGATTCATTCTTTATTTTGGTTGCTCGTTCCTTCGTTCGTTCCTTCGTTCTTTGTGCCATGGTCCCATTCTGCAAGTGCCTGACTTAAAATGTATGTGTTTTCCGTTGTGCTGGAGAATGAATCCTTGACCAAAGACCCTCCCGCTCTCTTTCTCTCTTATCTCCTCCCTCCAAAGGACAGCTCAAATAAACGAACAAACCTGGCAATGAGGGAGAGAGGTTAGGTTGTATTTCGAGCATTCAGTTGCAGAATCCTAGGGACGCTGATGATGGAATGAGAAGGTCTTTTGTTCTCTCCTTGGTTTGAAAAAATTCTGGCAGGGCCTGCAGCAGAAACCCATCAAAGTGCCAGCAAATATTCCAAAATTAGAAATGGGCATTTAGATCTTTTGATTAAAAATATGGTGCTTATTGCAAAGCAAAGCAAAGCAAAATTTCTCTCTCCATGGAAGTCTACCCTCCTTCCTTCCTTCCTTCCTTCCTTCCTTCCTTCCTTCCTTCCTTCCTTCCCACTGAAATTTCTCAGAAGAGTCCCCTGCAGAATTTTCTTCCCATATTCTCTGCCCCATTCCCATTCTTTCTTGGTGATGGTGGAGGAAGCAAAATGCCAGTCTGGCTCTCAGTGGAGCTTGGGCTGCAAAAATTGGGAAAGGGAAAGAAGCCGTGCAAATGGCAGGCCCACCCCCCGCAAAACGGTTGGAGGGGTTTGGCAGACGGCTTCTGCCCCACTCCAGTAATAGCCCGATTAGCCCTTTCTTGAAATGGGAGCCATGGCTTGGCAGTCGGTGCCCAGTGTACAGGCCCCATTGCAAGGACTGAGTCAGATTCAACAGGGCGATGAAGATGATTAACGCATCCTTCACACACTCACACACACACCATATCACTTCAGAGCTACGAGTGCGTTCCTAGTGACTCACTTGCTTTCAGCGGCTTGGTAAGTGCTGAGCAAAGGTTTCAGAAATGTCAGTAATGTTTCCCTCAATTTCCCCAAATGTTCCACCTCTGAAGAAGCTGTTTTCTAGCCTGCCTGAGAAACGGGGCTATGGAGGTGACTCATACCTAGCTATGGAGCAGGGGAGACACAGAGCTGAAAGACATATTTAAAAATGGCACCATTTCTGTGGTACAGCCCTCCCTGAAGGGGCCGATTTTAAATGCACAGGCCTCCCGACTGCATGGTTACCTCCACTGCCATCCCGGAAAATGGCCAGCACCTCAGGTGAAGGATGGGTGGAAACCTTCTTGGTTTGCTATCTTTCCACCAGAAAGATGCAGGACTCTAGAGATGGTCCTGCAGACCACGGAAGGCTGCACTACCTGATAACAGTGACTGGTTTCAGCCCCCGGGGTCAACCAGAGAGCAGCTTAGCCCCAGCAGGGCTTTAAAGCAGAAGGAAACAAGGGGTCCCCCAGCGGGTGGAGAGCAGTGGATTCCAGCTGTCACCGTTTCACGTGCACATCAGGCCTCCGTTGTCCATCTGGGGCGGCAGCATCTTCCACGGTCTGGTAAACAAAGACGGATGTTTTGTATTAGTGCAAATTTCACCTTTCCTGCTCTTGTGCAAAGGCATTTGAAGTTTTGACTTTACCGTGTACTATGGGAAGTATCAGAAAGGTGGGAGTACCCACTTCACAAGAAAAGATTAGAAATATGACTTTGGTTTATGATTCTTTTTTTTTTGTTGGAGGATTATGGGCATGCGGTACCTCCCCACCCCCACCCCCCAACCATAGGGGATTCCTGGCGCCAGACCTTACCTGTGATAAAATGAACGGATCTGAGAGACTCCCTTTAAACGCTCATTCATTCATTCATTCATTCGAAGAGATGTTAAGCCTGCCTTTGGGGCTTGCTTCCTTCACAAGGCAGTCCGACACTTCAGAAGACGCAGGAATAACATTTGCAAGAAGTAGAGCAAACCTAATCATCGTATTTAAAGCACTGTCTGGCTCAGACTGGCAGGAGAGAAGGACTGGGTGGAAGGGGCTTCTCTTGCCCTCCGCTTCCTTTCCTGGGTTCTTTGCTGCTCTCTGTCTCCTTCTCCTCTCTCCTTCTCTCCATATCCTCCCTCCCCTGGATTCAGAGTTATTCCAGCAACAGGACACACACACACACACACACACCCCATTGCAGAGACAGGTTGGTGGACTGGGACGGCCTTGGACCCCAAACTTCTCCAATTTGCCTCTGGCGCTCCAACCCAGAATGACTCATTTCTTTGGACAGAGGTTCTACTTCCCCCAAAAGGAGGCATCCCAGGGTGGAGGCCTCTTTCCACCCACAGGTATCCATTGCTGCAACAGAGAGGCAAATGCTAAATTTTCTGACCCTTGGGTACCCATCCTGGGACCGTCAGGCTGCAGTCTTAACCATTCATTTAAAACACCAGCAGCTTGGCCTGGAAAACTGCTCAGGTGGTGGGGGCACATTCACCTGATCAAAGGCAGACTGGATTCTTTGGGAGGGTTTGGGCATTTCCAGAGTTTTTCTTCACAACCAGTAGCAATAAGGCTGCACATTTTCCCTGGGGGAGAAGTTCAGAGGTGTGGAGTCATCATCAAGATGACTCTTGCATTGTGTCCTCCAGTCTCATCTGAACCGAGGCCCAAAGGACAGATCCATCAAAGTCCATCTGTGTACAAACCCAAACCCAAGGGGGTCCTTCAGAGTGCCTGACGCCAAGCCATCTAAATATTTCAACCATCTATGGTTTGACGAGCAATATATTGCATCTATCACCAGGAAAACGAGGCAAGAACAGAGGGAAGTGATCCCAGTCTCATGCAGAGGAGAGCAATCTAGTGGCAGCTGGAACAGTACACAAGACGCAAGCTCAGTTTCACAAGCATTTAAAAAGGCCACCTTCACAAACGGTTTGCTTCAGCAAGCGAAGCATGTGCTTTTCCCAGTATGCGGAGCAGAGAGAAAGCACCCAGAGGCAGCAAACGTGTCTCAGCGGAGGCTGCTCAGCGCTGTGTTAATACCGAGGTGGGCTGAGAACCAAGGCCGTCGCTTTGTTCTGCCACCGGTTTTTGCAGCGAGGATCAAAAGCACCAGCAGGAGGGTGGCTGAACAAGATAATTGAAATGTGTTCGCAAAAAGGAGAAATAATGCAGATTTCTGCTGGCTTCTCCACCCGTGTCCTTCAGCAGAGAACACAGAGCCCCACCCGCCTCCTGTATCAGAAGCTGTGGTTTTAAGACTGCGTCGTCCCCTCTTCGTCTTCAGTGCCCCATTCCTGCCCCCACGACCCCTTGCACCTGCTTCTGGTTGTGCCAGCCCTTCTAATTATTCTGTGCCTCTGAATGCCATATTATTCAGTCATCCTGCTCAGTGGAGCTGTACACGTACAATGCATTTCTCACTTGCACCGCATGGGAAGCGTGGACATGTCTCGCTTATACCCTAACCCCAACCCTAAGCCTCACCCACCCAGCACCCAGCCTGCCCCTTCCCTTCCCTTCCCTTCCCTTCCCTTCCCTTCCCTTCCCTTCCCTTCCCATGTGGCCTCTGGCTGGCTACTGGGGGAAGCGAGTGCTGAGTTCGATAGGCTTTTGGTCTGATCCAGCCCGGTGCTTTCATTCTTTTTATTTCATTTTCTACTATTCTTCTAGCTGTTATTAGAGTTACCCTTGGAGGTTCTATTTCGTAAAATATTGAGGTGTTTTTGTGTTATCCGACTGTCTGTCTGTCTCTCTATTGTGACACAGATATTAAAATTATGCTTCGCTGCACATTTATCTACCTGGTGGGGAAAGGAGCCCAGGGAACTTTCCGCAAACAACCTGTGATGGTCTCCAAGCGAGCAGGTGGAGTGCAGCGGGTGGGCACACAAACATTTGCAGACTCTTCCGCAGTTGCAAAACGAGGACAATTTGCACCACACGTTAAATCTCATGAAGATTTCTCCACAGTCTTTGTCAAATTTAATCCACACACGCTCAGAGCAGAATACATCAGCGGTACGATTCAAGGTCAGAGACACTGACAAGAACATTCCCAATGGTTTCTTTCCTCCGTCTTTCCTTTCTGGGATGAGCTGAGCCACCTCCTTTCACAGGTTCACTTAGGTGAGAGCGTTAAAGCTCACGACGCAGGTGTTAAATGGAAGTGTCAGCGAGGCTGCTTTGGGGGAGCGTGCTCGAAGCAACGGAGGAATTATGGAATCGGTTGTCGTCTGTGCCAGAATTCCATCCCCCAACTCTTCGCCACAGGCAGCTCTTTGTGTCCTGGGCTGAGGAACTCACACTGGAAGCCACGTGTGAGTTCCATGTGTGCAAGCCACACCCTCTGAACGACTGTTTCCCACATCACCAGGGTTGTACCCTGGGTCAGGGGGAGAACGGCAGGCACGTGTGCCTGGTTGAGCCGTCCAGAATCTCCCGGGTCGTGGGAATCATCCGTCTCTGGGCCAGTGCTCCGTATGAAGCTCCCAAGTCAGTGGCACCTCCGCAATGGGGGCAGCTCGTCCTTGGACAAGGCAGCTGATTGGGGGTCCTTTCGCGTGGGCACTGCCCAGCTGTCCACATCCCCGCTTGCCTGCCACAGCTACCTACACAAAAAGCAAGCCTGAGGTGAAGGGGAACGTCCTGGACTGGAGCAGGGGGATCCTCACCACCAGATTCCTGACGTTGTCCCCTGTCCATGTATGGATGGAGAGGATGAGCAGTCGAAGGGCCAACCAAGACTGGGCAGACCCAGAATCCAATTTGTGCTGCCAGATTTCCTACCTCCCTGGCTCCCTCTTGCCTGCCTGCCAGCTGTTGGCAGAACAGCGCTGTATAGTGGTTAGGGCAGGTTTCCCTAGCCTGGTTGCCTCCATTCCGCACTGTGGTCTTCTCCAACCATCTAGAGGTCTCCAGAATGAGGAAGACTGGAATAGAGAATTGGATTGACTGGCCACCTTCTCTTTCTGCCTAAGTTAGCTGAAGGAATTGCTGTATGGATCATAGAGTTGGGCGTGGAGGAAGGGACCCCAAAGACATCAGGAATGGCAGTTTGGGGGGTGATGCTCTGGGGGTCAGTGGCCCACCTCCTGGCATCATTGGCCCCTGGGCTGGAACAGTTCCCCACCCTGAAGTTCTCCATTGCGAGCTCTTGGGAGAAGGGACAGAAGCATTGGCCCTGAGCAATTTATACTTTTTTCTTCGTTAGAACACACTCCCATTCACTGGTAGGGCTGTGTTGTCAACCTTCAAGGAAGACAGGAGAATGAACAACAGGCTCAGGATGCTGGAATCAAAAAGGACCCGATGGCCTTCTGGCCTCTTCCACTTTCCTATTCTCTGAGTCCATGATTCAGTGTTCTTGGCACCAAACAGATTTTATACATGACAGCCCCTAGTTCACCAGTGTGGATTCTCGCAACCTTCTACTTCCACTATGGAGTTCACAGGTTCACATGAGTTTAAATGCACAGGAATCACAACTGTGGGTTCTGCATTGGACCGGCTTTTTCCAAGTCATGGCAGTTTCTGCAGACTTGGAAAGCACTTTGCCCATTCGGGGAAGATGTGTGCCCATGCGTTTGTGCTAGGGCACACGTGTTCACATGCAGGACAGAGCACTAGTGCAGAGACACACATGTGAACAAGTGCACATTGCATTAATGTGAAGTGGCATGTTTGTGAGCTCACACAAGAAGGATATTCTGCTAGCAACAAAAACGAAAGAAGTCCTATTCCAATCCTGAGCAAATTATACAATGAAATGCTTGACACTCTGCAAAACACAGATGGAAGAGAATTAACAAAATCTGTATACTTCCAATTACCTTCCTTCTGAAAGGTAACATTTTACAATTAATTTAAGATGACTGAAAGGAGCACAGGCATTAACAAAAGAAAGAAGAAGAAAAAAACCCCTCTTTCCAAAATCAATTTTTTTCCCTCTTCTTAAGTGGATCAGCATCTTCAGTTCTGCTATGAGACATGTTGACTGTGAAACTCTCTAATTAATATGGGATTAATGCGTTTTCATCTCCGGCTTCTGTCTTCACGATTGTGAGCCACCTGGAAAAGGCTTCATATGTCTTCCATCCATTTTGTGCAGATAATTGCTCCCCAGTCTAAGGAGAAATAAATTCACTCCTTTATTTATCTGATTCCACCGAGCTCCTCGGCTCGCAGCCTGCAAACACGTCTTGTCAATAAGGGAGCAGGTGGGGGCTCCTCTCAGTGTCTGCCAAAGCTGCACCGAGTTGGAATTTTAATCGAAATCAGATCTCCGCCTTGGGTTTTCTCTCGAGAGCCGCAGGTATATTAATTTGACTGCAAAAGGCAATTAAAATATTTGGCGCCCCAGCTGGGAAGCACAGGCCCTGCATATCTTGATGGAGATCTTGGGAGCTCCGTAATCATGTCCATACTGGGATGTACTGGGAATGGTGAGGCTTTCTTCTGTCTAGACAAGCAGAGGATCACAACCTTGGTCACTTGATCTAGGGCAGGTGTCCCCAAATGGGTACCATGCGAGATGTTCAGGATCTCAGCTCTGAGGTGTTCCAGCCAGAATTGCCAGTGGTTGGGAATCAACATTCCATTTAGATGCCAGGAAGGACTTCCTGACAGCTAGGACCCTGAGGGTGTGGAATGGGCTTCCACGAAAGGTGGTTGAGGCCCCATTGGTGAGGGTGTTCAAGGACAGGCTGGACATGCACATGGTGGGCATGGCGTGAACGGAGCCGGCTGGAGCCGGGGGTCAGACTAGATGGCCCGGGAGACCCTTTCTGACTCGCTCTGTTTCTGTTTCTATGAATGCTGGGAATTGTTGCCTCAAACTTCTGGCACCAGATGGAGGAAAGCCACCAAGGAATGAAGTGCCAGTTTCCTTCAGAGCTCTGATTCACCCGAGTCAATGTTTGGGGGAATTGACAAGGCCGACAGAAAGGGATGAACCATCTGGAAGGAGTTGGTGGGCGGCTACCACATTTGTCTTCTCTCTTCCATCAAAATGGCGTTAGCCACTATGCACTTCCATGGTGGACCATCTCAGAAGGTCCACCCAGTCTGCCTTGGAGAGCTGACTTCTCTTGTGGACTTCCTTTAGGGCAAGATTGTCCTGCAGAGGTTTGGGGCTGCTGGAATCAACTCTGCACATGGGCAGATCCCTCGCAGATTACAGGGACCATGAGTCGGATCTGTGCAACCTCTTAGCCACTCTCATAGAAAACACTCTGTGGCATTTCAAGGGGGCTGTGTCATTCTTGGCAATGCTCCACAGTATATTTTCCCATCTCTTCTGTGTACAATGATTCAACATGGGGGAGAGACTCTTATCTAATTCATCTCGTCCTCTCTCCCCCCGTGAAGCAGCCTCCCTTTCTTTCCTACATCCAGAAGTTCATCTATCCAGCATTTTCCTGATGCATCCAGAATTCTGAGTCCTGCTTGGCTTGCCACTTTAAAGCGGTCATCCTTCGCCACTTCGTTCCTGGGGTCACTGGATGTCAACTCCGTACCTGTTGCTGCTTTCTTAAGTTCTCGGCCAGGTGTGAGCTTGGGGGGGAAGAGAAAGCAGGGTCCGTTTGCAGTCCACATCAAAGCTTGGCATTTCTTTTCTGTCTGCAGTTACAGGTGCTAGCGCAAGAGCAGGGCCTGGAGAAGGGGAGCTGGAATAAGTCCAAGGGGCATTGATTTTCCTCTGTCCGCTGCTTTTCTGATGCTGACTCTGCACTTCACAAAGCACCTTCTGGGTGCACTTGCCTCATGGCCATGACCTTTCAGAACTGCAGCTTGGAATTAACTTCCAAAGTTCAAGACTGGCCTCCTGGGCACACAGTGATCTAAGAAGGATAGAAGGTTCCGGCTACTTTTGCTTTTGCTGGCAGTCTCAGTTTTGAAAGTGCTCTTTCGGCCCTCTCGTTCTTGCATTTGAGTTTTTGTGCACGATTTTCTCAAATACACTCTTTTGCAAACACATTTCCTTAATGTATGCTTTCCATGTCTTTCCTAATGTATTTGACATGCATTTATGTTCCTAATGCGTGTGTTTTAATTTGCATATTTTGATCAGAGAACTGCATTTGGAGAAGATTAAAAACTGAGGGATAACTGTAATAGGTAAAATTACTTAGGTAATTTTAGATTCGGGAAGTAATGATCTCATGGGGGGTGGGCAGGCTTTCTGGCTTTAATTATCACATTGCAACCACTGTTTGGATGGCACTGTGCCTGACTTGATTCACTTCTAATGGTCTGAATGAGAGTAGGCTCTTTAAATGACAACATCTCTTTCTTGAGTTCTTTCAAAATATGAAAAGCCTGGCTTGGCATTTAGGATGCTTCTGGTTTATTCTTCTGAGCGGAGCTCTAAGCAGCAATTCTGGGCCCTTTCCTGAGCGAGACATCATGCTTCAGGCTAAAATCCAACCCATACTTCGGGGAAACAGACTTCTGAAATGCCACACAAGACTAATCCCTACATTTCGGTTGTGTGAAAGAAAACCTCTCCGAAATCTCATGCTCTGAGCCAGGGCAAGTGCGGTTTTCAGTTCCCTCCATGTGGAAAAGCACACAGAGGATTACGGAGTTGTAAAATCAACCCTTCTTTTCTTGACACAGGTGAACCTGGTGCTGGATGAAGGGCGGTCGCTGGGCCTCATGATCCGTGGAGGAGCCGAATACTCTCTTGGGATTTACATCACAGGCGTAGACAAAGGCTCTGAAGCAGAGAGCACCGGGCTGAAGGTAAGGTCATCGAACCCACCTAGCTAGGCAAGCATCCCATAGTAGAAAACCTCCTTCTGTTGAGGATTGCGCAAACAATCGTACCTCGTGGCACTGTGTCCTGCAGCCGGAAATTCTTCTGCGTCTTCTCAGAAAAGAGAGTTACTGCTGGGTTCTAGTTAGTGGGATCGGCGTTGTTGGTTTCTCTGTCTCCTATTCACTCCCACTGGATAGCTGGCCAAGTCTGGTATAAACCAGTAGGGACGGGTAAGCTCCATTGACTAGCTCTGCTTAGGGTAGCTGCATCCTTCCCTCTATTTCTGATGTTCAGAGGTGAAGGCTGATACGGATGTAGCCACAACAACACCAGCCGTGCAGAGGATGGCGGTGACGGCCGGCTCAGGGCAACCTCCAGCCTCTGTGTGGAGCTGCCCTTGTGAATCTGAGAATCCGTGGCAGAGGGAATGCAGAAGCTTCTTGTCCTGTAGGATCCCTGTACTGGCGTCGACCTCCCTGCCTCCACCCTCTCTCCTTCATCTGCCTCAAAGGGAATTTCTTTTTCCGTTCTGGCTCACTTCGATCCCTGCCTTCATTAAATGAGAACTGGTTTCATGCAGGCAACAGTCCATCAGCTTCAGGGCAAAGATGGAAAATATTAACAGAAGGCATATGGGTAATATAACCTTCTGCAAACAATATCTTCCACTGTCTGCAATGCTCTTCGTCAACGCTCCATTGGTCTTTTTAATCTCCATTTCGGGAAAGAGAGGAGAAATTCAAGGAGAACCTTGGAGAGCTTCTTCCAACCTGATGCCCTCTAGATGTTTGGGATTACGAATCCCATAAGCAACAGCCAGCCTGGCCAAAGGTCAGAGCTGATGGGGTTGTCACGAAAGCTTCAGGGAGGGCCCAGGTTGAGGAAGGTCAGGGAGAAGAGATGTACCCATGCACGTCTTTATTTCTACTCACTCTCCTGAGCTGGTTTGCTGTTTTCTTCACAAACCGGGACTTAGGCTCCCAGACCTTCTTCTATGCTGCTCCCCATCAGGTTCTTTTCCTGGTTTTTAACCCTTAGGGTATCTGTCTCATCTGCTGAAATCTTGCATGCCTGAGGAGAGGTAGGTAGGCTGCACTTCCTAGGGTCACCCATCAGGATACAGGGGGAAGTGAGCAAGGTACTTGATCTTCCCCATCACTGCACAGGACACAAATCCTAGCATTTTCCCCTGGTGGCCAACCTGTGCAAGAGCTTTAGTATCAATCCTGATTATCACAGAATGCAGGATAGGAAACGACAGGCTCAAGCTCCAAGAAGACGCCTTCTGGCTGAACATCAGGAAGGACTTCTGGACTTCTGGAGCAGTGCAGCAATGACCCTGGGGGACGATGGGCTCTCGCACGCTGGAGGCATTCGAGTGGCGGCTGGACAGCCCTCTCTCGGGGATGCTTTAATTGGAGCCCTGCGCTGAGCTGGGGGCTGGACCCTATGGCCTTGCAGGCCCTGTCCAACTCCGCTATCCCGTCCCTCTGTGGCTCCTGTGGATGGCGCACTCCACTTGCAAGAAGTCAGCAGCAACCTGTGACTAAGGAGGCAGAAGCCGGTTTCAGGTGAAGCACAGTGGCCCCATTTGCTTCTGGTCCCAAGTTCAATCCCCGTCTTTCCGGGTGATCCAGGAAAAAGCCTTGTCCCATAGAACCACTGGTGTTCCACGCACTAGAAGGAACAAGGCAGCTTTCCGTGTTCCTAAAACTATCACCCGATTTGGTGTGGGAAGGAACCTGCTGTCCAGGGTGTACATTTGGGGGGCGAATTGGGTACAGCATCCACTGGCCCTTTACCACCAGTTTTAATTGCATTCCTACCCAGTTCTCCCAGAATGACTTTCCTGTAACTGCAGCTAGAACAGAACGGTATACCTGGCGAGTGAGGCCATATTAATCGGGATATGCCTCCTGCACGGCTGGTTTGGTCCTTGGAGAATCCCCACGTTTGACGGCACAGCTGCTGAGAACCTGCCTGCCAGGTGGCTCGTGAGTCTGCCTTGTCATTTCGCTGCTTCCCAGACGGTTGTTTGCTACCTGGGAATGTTGCTTCTAGCGCACACATGTTACTGCTGGGTAGCACAGGAGCTCTGCCCTCCTACCTTCCTTCACTCCCCGTTGGAAAATGACACAACTGGGGGAGAGCGAATTTTAGTGCTGTGCAGTACGGATCAAGATGTTCCAGCTAGCCGTTTCTCTGGAGGGAGACTGTCGGGCTGCTTATTCCGAGCTTTATCCGTTCACCTCTTAGATACCCACTGAGTTGTCAGACCACCCTCTTCACTTCCCTGTACACCTTTGGGCAGAAAGCCTTAGCAAGGAGTTGGGAACTTTTGCCTCTTCGGGGGCCACAGGAAAGGAGGGCGAGAGCAGTGGCTCTTTTCTCTGGGAATGAAAGGGGATCGCTCGGGGCTCGAGTGGAGCATTAGAAACCAAGGCAGCACCACGCAGAGTGTCTTGACTGTGCATTATTAATCGCCACAAGGCATATTATGACATTGCGTGCTGGTTCGGGTCACTCCACAGTCTGCAGTTGCAAAACAGGTGGTTCCAGCTCTCAGTGGACCAAAGGGAATCAAGATTCCAAGTGCCTCAATACGCAGCGTCCTTTTCCCCATCCTTGCTCCGTCTCTGGACTTCGTGTTCTATGTTCTAAGCTCACGAAAACCCTTTCGTTTCCAAAATCAAGCCATCAGGAAATATAGCCTGTATGTATGCAGCAACATGATTTAAGGCTCACAAATGCAATGAAATCCTTTATTTTGTATAACTGCGCTGTCCTTTCAGCGCCACTGTACAAAAGAGCCATCCAGGAGCGCTTTCTTTTAAGGCAGCAAAGCTTTCTCGAATGGATTGCATGCTGATTTAGAGAGGCCCTGGAGAGACGCCCTCGTTAAGCATTTAATTCAAGGCTTCGTCCAGCCTCGTGTGCCTGCCGTTAATGACTGGCAATTGTTTGCAACACTGCACCGGAGGTGTGGGGGGAGAGATGCTCGGGGAATGAGTTGTGGAGTTCTCCCTTGGGACTTCCTAGTCATTAGTGATGAAATGCAAATTTGCAAATTTGCTTCCTTTCCCATTCCCATCTCTTCTCTTTCCTGCTGGTTGATGCAAGATTGCTCACACGTCGGTCCGTGTACCTAAAGATTGCCATAACTGAAAAGACACGGCATTGTGTGCCCACCCACCGCACCACCGAAAGTGGCAGAGGGAGACATTTAATGCATCTGATTGTTGTTATTCAAACAGCAGGTGAGGTGAGGCAGATCTGAGCCAGTCAGAGCGTGGGATGACAGTGAAACGAAAGTCACGGACTCTCCAGTTCCAGGTGTGAAATTGATGCCTCAGAGCCCACACCCGCTCCACACAACCCCCAGGAAGACCCCCGGTGCCTCAGAGCCCGCACCCGCTCCACACAACCCCCAGGAAGACCCCCGGTGCCTCAGAGCCCACACCCGCTCCACACAACGCCCAGGAAGTGCCAGTATGTTCTGATTCTCCAGAGTAAACCATCTCAGAGAACAGGGAGATCTTGGAGAGAAGCCCTCAACTGCTCTGCTTCTCCAAGCTTCATTCCTTAGGAGAAACCGATACTTGTAGGAGAGAGTTGCTGGCCCTTTAAGAGCCAAAAGGAACACCTTAAGAGTTGCTGGCCCTTTAAGAGCCAAAAGGAACACCTTAAGAGTTGCTGGCCCTTTCAGAGCCAAAAGGACCTCCCTAAGGGGTGGAGCTTCCAGAGAGACTAGCCTGGCCTGACTATAAAAACCTGCCAGTTGCTCTTGGCCAGGCTTGGGGGAAGTTGCTCTTTTGTCTTGTCCTTGCTGGCCAAGGTGTGGAACTAAGCTCTGGATGTGGTTCACCTGCGGAGCCCCCTGGCCTGCCTTGCTCGGACAGATGGTGGATTCCTGATGGAGTGCCATGGAACCTAGTAGGTGGGGACTGGGGTTTGTTTTGCTCCCTCCCTGCCATGTTGCTAATGCAAATTGAGCTGATGTTTTTACTGAGACTGTGGAGGAGACTGGGAAAAGGGGGTGGTGGGGAATTTCCTTTGCCTTGTGTTGGCACCAGATCCCCACCTTGGGTCAGTGTGCCAGCTGGAGCATGGCCATGTGTTGGTATTCATACGTGTCTCAGAGTTTTGCGGTGCAGGTCTCCAAACAACGATGGTGTACAGAAATGGGTACATTGAAGGAAGTGTATGGAAAGATGTGAGTGGATTGACTCTTTTTTTTTTAAAGAAAGGAATGTAAGAATGGACTTCAGACAGGGCTGAATGAATTGGACCACGTCCCAAGTGGGACCTGGAGAAAGCGGGGATGAACAGGAGACTCGTTTTCAGGGACTGGAAGGACTTCAAAGCTTGGGCCCATGAGTCAACGGTCTTGTTAAATGGCTGTGTTGGATGTTCAACTACTCCTCTGCCCACTCACAGCCTCACTGGGGGCTTTGACGTGCAAGAACGTAGCTACAATGCTGAAATCCCTAGAAAAGGCCCTGTCCGCCATCCCAAACACCAGTGCGTTTTCTCCCAAACCACACACAAATGTCTCAACTTGTGTTGATGCTTGCAAAGTGTTTTAATAAATAAATAAATAAATAAATAAATAAATAAATAAATAAATAAAATGTGTACTTGAAAAAACCACAGCTTTATGGAAAAGGCACAATGTTTTGATCCGCCATGTTTTAGGCCATGGGGGAAATTAGCCCAGTTGTGTGCGCGTGTGATTGCGTGGCTTTCTTGTCTGTCTTTGACATGTTTCTTGCACAAAATGAACAGTCATAGCAAATGCAAGGGCCAAGTTGGCAGAGATGAGGTGCGAAGTGAAGTTCAGAGAAACTTCCCAAGTTGACGCATCACTTAATTTCTGCGCTCAACAGCACTTCTGCCACCACTTCTGGTCAAGTTCTATTTTTGCCCGTTTCTCCTCTGCCTGTGAGAAGATTGCCAAAAATACTGCCACACTTTTCACAACCTG